GTTACCTGTTTTTAAAAACAAATACTTATTATTTTGGGAGTGGAGACATTAAAACAGTAGTCCCTTAAACAAAGTGATGTGCTTGTAGAGTGGCTTAAGTGATAACGTGCCTGTCTAGCAAGCACAAGGCCCTGAGTTCAAAGCCAAGTACCACCAAAAAAAAAAAAATGTGATGCAGTTGCCAGCTAGCCACTTCTTCATGTGTGTCTACGCAGCTGTGCACTGTGTGTTTTCTGTTTTGTTTTTGAGCCCAGGACCTTGCACATGCTAGGTAAGTGCTCTACCACTACACTACATTCCTAACCCCTTCCTGTTGTGTCTAACTGTGGAATAAAGGAGCACACCTTAGTTAGTGTGTTTCAGATACAGGCTGCAGCCTGAACATTTTGAATAAGGAAAATTCAAGATTTGAGAGATTCTTCAACTCCCTGGTGAAATTCTTATCTGCCTCTAGACTCACCAAGTCAAATGAGTAATTTAAGTTGTCCAGAGGGAGGTCGTTGGACTTGTTTTAGGTCATCATTCTTAAATTTCTGTTTTCCCAGTGAAAAATAGCACAACTTCCAGGAGAAATTAGGTTTGGGCCCTAACTAATTAATTAACAGAAATTAATGCCATTAATTAACATTAAGGTGTAGCATCTTTAGCACATCGATGTTAAGCAAATGAGTACTGTCCCTCAGCCACCCATTTTCCCTATCTAGATACAAAAGGTATTTTTATTTTTATTAATTTATTTTTTGGTATACTAGGGTTTGAACCCAGGAGCTTACCACTGGAGGGACATTAACAGAAATTAATCTATTTTCGTAGACTGAACAGCTTTGTTATTTTGAATCCCAAGTTATCACTGGCATCTATTATAATGTTGGTTTTATATCCTATCCAGTAAAAAAAAATTTTGAGGGAGTACACAGAAACAAGACTGAAAAGATGAAAATAAAGGAAAGAAACAAGAATAACAAATGGAATTAAGGGAGAAACTGTTTTGGCTTGGAAGAGCGCTTACCCATCATGCTTTGTGTAAGCCGCTAATCATGTACAGTGCTGGCTGGTGAGATCATGGATTGTGGATCATCACCACCTCATTAGGCCAAAGGCTTTGGTTTCTGTTTCTACAAGTATCTTTTCGTTCACTCTCTGTAAAATGATCAACTCATACCCTCAAAGTTTTTGCTATAGAATTGAGGTGACAATATTTCAACAGAATTGATGCCATATGGAAAACCCCAAGTTAGCTTTTGTGTAAGTACACAGTAAACTATTCAAAACAGATGAGATGCTTAGTAACACAGTGGGAGCCCAGACTTTGGTGTTAAACAGTCCATGTTAGAATTTCATCTCTCCTACTTGGAGGCTACAAAGACCTGTTCAAGTCTGAACCCTTATGAGCCCCATTTGCTCAGCTGTAAATGGGGCTAACAATGCTGGCACAGATGGGGAGTGTGTAGCATCTTTAGCACATCGATGTTAAGCAAATGAGTACTGGTAAAAGTGGAGCTATCGTTCCCTCACTGGGTGCTGGCACTGTACATAAAGCCACATCTGTAGATAATTCTGTTTAAAAAAAAAAAAGTGCGAACATATTAAAAAATGAGTCCCAGAGAAGTTAACAGTCTTCTCAAGGCCCATGGTCAGCAGTAGTAGGCCTAAGATTTGCATAGAGAAAGTCTGACCCCAGAGGCCCGCTCATAATCACTGCCTCTAGGGCCCCTTCTCAGACCAGGCCAGCAAGTGGCCACGGGGAAATGATGAATAGACCACTTCTGGAGTAGATGAGTTTTAGGTATTGATTGGTATTGGTATTGATTTAGGTATTTCGGCATTGATTGATAGGGAGGTGTTGATTGAGGTGTTCTGGGTGGAGCAGTGTCAGTTTTGTGGGCAGAGACAGGAAGGGGGAGTGTGAAAGAGAGGCACCCAGAGCTGCAGCTCAGGAGCAGAGAAATTTAGGAGGACGTCCAATGATGAGGGGAAACCGTGTGCATAATCAATTCTGCATTTTTAAATTTAAAATAATAAAGATCAGCTTTTCATTAATGACCCATTATTTCATGTAATCTCACTTTTCCAAAGGTAAAAGGAAGGAAAGTTTTAATACAGTGTTGTTAAATAGATCTGAAATACCTCAACCCAGTATCCTTTTTACTATTCTGTTCTACCTGTAAAGTACACAAGTTTTAAAAAATAGATATATTTTTCTTTTCAATTCACCAGCCCACATTTCTAATTTAGCTTTTGGTCCCCACCTCTGACCTCTGTCACCCCCAGTTAATGCAACTGTCCAGAATTACGGCCTCATAGAACACTTTCAGTACACAAGGATCCAGAGGAAGAAAGGTAGCCTTTAATTTTTATTATTAGGTCACAGCATCTCATGTTTTCATGTGTTTTCAAAATATTCACAGAAATTATAGCAGTAATCAAGCAAAGGAAAAGAAATACACAGGGAATATTTCAGAAAAACTTATGGGACAAAACCAGACCATTAGTAGTGAACTCAGCATTTCTTTGAGACTATCAACAATATCTACCTTTATGTATCATGGCTCATGAGCATGGAAGTATATGTAAGGGTTTTGAACTCAGACCTCTTTTATGGAATAAAAACTCTATGGATCTTTTTCTTTCAGTGTGTAGTTTTCCCAACACAGGGACGATGGGGAGTTTGGGTGGCAAACTTTACAGACTGACATCATTATATGGGCTGTTCTCGGAGCCTGTGTTGGTTTCTCCCTTGGTTTCAATGACTCTTGGTGGGATCTTGGCACAGTGTGTTGGGATCACCACAAGCCATGTTTCTTCCCCTGAAACAGTACAGAGAAACAAACCTTTGGCAGTGTAAACATTCTCTGGGTCGGAAATTTCAGAAGGCAGAGTTAAAACAAAGAACAGTGTAAAATCTGTTGTTGATACAGAATCTGAAATGTAAATGGTTTGGATAAAGGCACCTTTCCTGGTTCCTGGGGACTGCCTCTCTATTTGCTGTAGTAAAGAATGTTTTCAGCTGGGTGCCATGGCTCATGCCTATAATCCCAGCTACTTTCCTGCAATCTTGGTTACTCACCTATAATCCAAGCTACTTGGGAGGCAGAAATCAGGAGGAATGTAGTTCAAGACCAGCCCAGACAAAAGTAAGGGAGACACACACACACCCTTCTCAATCAGTAAGCCAGGCAGTGGTAGCCTGCACCTGTAATTCCAGCTATTGGGAGGCTGTAGGTAGGAAGATCACAGTCTAGACAAAAACATGAGAGCCTACCTGAGAAATAACTAAAGCAAAAAAAGAAAAACAAGGGATGAAAGTGTGGCTCAAGTGGTAGAGCGCCTGCCTAGCAAGCATGATGCCCCTGAGTTCAAGCCCCAGTAGCACCAAAAAAAAAGAATGTTTTCAGAACTATGTAGTAATAAAATGAAAGTATTGTGAAGGTATTCAGAATCCAGGTTTGTCATTTGGTTATAGAGCTCTTATTTTGTTGTGTCTCTACTGTGAATTTTTACTTCTTAAAGAAAGTACATTTGCTTTGGAAATTTCTTTCTATCTTGTTCGCTGTTTTCTTACAAGAAATACCTCTTTCTTTTCCTTCATGTGAATTTAATGTTGAAGCTTTGTACTTGTGAACTAAGGCAAAATTTGACCTCATCCATTTTTGTGGCTCATTAATTCTCAGGGCCCTTAACAGAGCCACCCAACATTGGCAAGACCCTTTGTGGTCCTGGCTGTTGGCCCAGCCTGGCAATCATCAAGCCCCTCCTCATCTAAGCCTACCTGGTCTCTGCAGGCAAGAAGTCCCACTGCTTGCAGGCCTGTGCTTGGGACACTGGCTTCTTGCAAGGCTGGGATCCTTTATGCCTGGCTTTGCCCTTGACCCATTGGCTATGGTGTCTTGTGAGCTGTGTGTGCCACAAGCAGGGAACAGAGGACCCTGACCAGTGTAGATCTCAGATCCTCACTGTAGGACCCATGGATCTCTGTTTCCCATCTCCACTTAAAAGCTTCTTCCCTCTGCCTGCAGCCCTGCAGGGCACCTAGTGTGAGCTATTGGCCAAGTCTGCTCAGTGCCCTTCAGTTCCATTAAACACAGAAGGAAGCCTTGACTTCCGGTAGCTTTGTTTACAGTACCGCCTGAAGGAGAGAAAATAATGTGAACGAACTCTGTTTAATATTTTCACAGAATAGTCTCACCAAAATACACAGTGATTTGATTCTGTAAATGTAGATTTGGGAAATTCTTAATGAACTGATAATGCTGCTTTCTCAGGAGAGGAGATGGGGAGTCTAGGGTGGAGAGCAACTTCTCTCTGAGGTTTACAACACCCTGTGGTATTGCTTAAATCCTTATTTTAATGACTGTTTTTAAATTTTAAAGATTATTAATTTGAAGAGATGCATTTTTTAATTCTTTAATCATAAAGCACTTTCTTCCCTAGATATTGTTGTCCTAATGACTCAGAATGATGAGTTCAGCGGAGGTAATTTGTCCAAGACTGTATGATGACAGGATTTGAACCCATGGCCATCTTATACTCAGATCTGTGGATGCTGCTTCCCCTTACACCGTGCTTTGTCCTTCAGCACCCGATCATTCCACTAAGTTCCTTTCTTTCATTGCCCAAATAATGAGGCCTGGCAAGCCCCTTCTTCAGGCCACACATCTATGCCAAATCCTTGAATACCAATAAGTACAGAAACTGTGTTTCAAAATACACCATAAAGTATAAATAAGAATGACACATGGTTCACCTCAAGTTCATACACAGCAGCAATGTTCAAGGTTAACAATAAAATGTTCAGAGGAAGTTTAACGTGAAAGGGTAGGCAAAGCCAGTCTAAGGGAGTAAAATTATCATCAGGAAAACTTAATTGCACCTCCAGTACATAACCGCGTGGCTTGTTTATCAACTAAAGTAAACATTGTTAGCAAATGGCATACTATGGCTTGATGCCTGCTTAAGAAGTATTTGTGGGTGTTGAGAATTAATAGAAATCTTTTTTATAGGATGCCATTGTCATTCATGAAGTCTATGAAGAAGGAGCAGCAGCCAGAGATGGAAGGCTGTGGGCTGGAGATCAGATATTAGAGGTACATAATTTTAAGATTTTTTTTCTTACCAGTAAGTATGGTTGCCTTGCTGACCTTAGGCCACAAAGTCAGTGTGTCTGTCTTCTACCCAGTGTACCATCACTGACTTCTGTCCCATCAACAAAATGTAAAAAAAGGAAACAAAAAAAGAGACATACTAGAACTTTTGGCCAGGCGCTCGTTACTCATGCCTTCAATCCTAGCTACTCAGGAGGCAGAGATAACGAGGAACGCAGTTTGAGGCCAACCCAGGCAAATAGTTCAAGAGAACCTATCTCAGAAATACCCAACGCACAAAAAAAGGGCTGGCGAAGTGGCTCAAGTGGTAGAGCACCTTCCTAGTAAGCATGAGGCCCTGTGTTAAAACCCCAGTACTGCCCAAAAAACATCAACAACAAAAAAAACCACACCATATCTCTTTTTTTCAGTGTGCTTTAAACAACTCATCAGTTTAGAATCATGACAGATTACCAATCTAAATTTGTTTCTGCAAACATTTTTTAAAAGGAAGAGTACAACTTACAATTCTATCATTTTAAAATCAAGTAGTACTACATAATATTGCAACTTGATTTTTTTTTTTTGCCTTCCCATTTTCCCATACAAAATTCCCTCCTAAAAACACATACAGGCATGGTGCCACCCAACTATAATCCCAGCATTCTAGAAGCTGAGGCAGGAGGATCACAAGTTCAAGGCCAGCTTGGATTACATAGCAAGACCCTGTTTTAGAAAACAATAAATTTTTTAAAACCTCACATACCTATATATACCTTTGATATTTTAAAGACTTCATTGCAGTTTAAGTAGTATTTTCTAATCCTAAGAAACCTTTATGTCAAAGGGAAGTCTGTGCCTTGCCACCAACATGTTCAAGCTGATGAAAATGTAGAATCTTCCCTTTAGGTGGCATATAGTACTCTTAAACATTGAAATGCTTAGCTGGACTCTTTCAAATTTGTCTTTCATTTAAAGACTTAAAAATTGTTTTAAGTCTTTTAAAAAAGTGTCAGAGCAGCCAGGCACTGGTGGCTAACACCTGTAATCCTAGCTACTTGGGAGGTTGAGTTTGGGAGGATCAAGGTTCAAGGCCAGCCCTGGTAAATAGTTCAAGAGACCCCCCATCTCCAAAATGACCAGAGCAAAATGGACTGGAGGTGTGGCTCAAGTGATAGAGTGCCTGCTTTGCAAGCATGAAGCCTTGAGTTCAAACCCCAGTCCCACAAGAAAAAAAAAAAAAATGCCAGGACAAGCATGACAAGCTGTATGACACTAGGGAATGGATGAGCAGGAAGCCAGTGATTGCCAGGCGTTCTGGTGGGTGGAACTAAAGAGCCTTTTGATGATGTGAAACCTTTAGGCAACACTTACTTCTTTCATTGGATAAAGTCAGTAGAATAGTTAAATTTTATGGTGGGCATGGGTAATTGCTGCTTTGTAACTTTGATATAGCACATTATGAATGACATCAGAAAGTTTTATTTTTCCCCTTAGTTCATTTCTGCCTCCCAAGATGAAAACAGAAGTGTAAGTAGGGGCTAGTAGAGTGGCTCAAGTGGTAAGAATGCTAAGCATGAAGCCCTGAGTTCAAACCCTAGTATTGCCAAAAAATAAAAAAAAGAAAGTGTAATTGGGGGCAGCACACATAGACGAGAAAGGGTTAGCAGAGAGGCCAAGCTGACAGCGAGTTAAATTCAGGCCAAGTCACAGGGTTTCTTTTCTGGTCTTTACTGTGCCTTAGCATTGGATTAGGGCATTCTCCCAGCACCTGCATTAAGGTACAAGCAAACCAAGGTCCCTTTGGGAATTGGCATGACTACTTCAGCATGCAACACAGTTTTAGTGGTTAGGAGTTTGAGAGGTTCTGGGTTTTTTTGTTTTATCCTTCCTAGATTTTCTAATAAACTGATGTTATCATAATTGACTTTTTCAGATGAATGGGCTAAATATTAAAAATAGTACAGGTGCAAATGTGCCTTGACACATATATAAATTGTAAGTCCAGAAATTGTCCTAAATGGTCACTTGAAACTAAATTTAATATGCTTATTATCTTCAAGTATAGCTGTGCCTTCATGGGTAGAAACAAATGTATATCAAAACCAATTACATTGTACCTCTAAGTATATGTAGCTTATTTTATATCAATAATACCTCAGTAAAACTTTCTCACCATGTCTGCTTGTATTGGATAGACTGTAGCTGCTTTCTTCTGTAAGTGTATTCCTGTCCAGTGAACACTCAGGGTCAATTAGCTGGAGAAGGGAATGTGCTTCAGATGGAAGGAGAACTGGAAAGGTCAGGCATTCTGTGGTCCAGTCTAGATGAATGGTCTCTACTTCCTAGTGAAGATGGCCAGTTCGGTTCCTCTTAGTTTGGGAGCGTACACATGGGTTTGCTTCAGGAGTAGCTTGTGATTTCGCCCAGTCTCATGCTCCTTTCTAGGCAGGTTTAGGCCCCACAGTGGGATGTGTTCTGGACATGGCTGACGAGTACAAATACATGATACATAACCAACCACCTGAGATCGGCAGACTCTAGAGAAGACAGACCAGCCTTGGTGGGCTCTTTGAGACCAGGAAACAAGGTCTCATCAGGCACTGATGTCAGGACCACACTCTCCAAATCCCCACATCAGCACTTTGCCTGCAGTGGCTTTTCTGCTGCTGGGAGAACTGCATCCTTCTGGCTGGTCTTCCATGGGTACAATTATGTCCTGATGCCAAAAGTGAGGCAGGCCAGATCTTGTTCCACAGATGCAGTTAAATAATATGTTAGCATGGACTTTCTTCTTTGCGGTTCTCCTCGTAGGCTCCTCTCACCTTCCCTACCTCCCCCATCCTCACCTGTGTGGGTGTGGGTGGGAGTAGAAAGAGAGTCAATGCCTCATTTTTCCCTGCAGAATAAAATAATAAACCACAGGCATTGATTATTTGCCACAGGTGACAACTTCCTATCCAAGGGATGTGACAACTAGGGCTTCCGAGGGCCCCACACACACCCCCGTTACCTCCTGTCCTCTTATGTCATTGATGCCCTGTGCACACAGTACTTCTGTGAAGCTTAAGGAGCACATGACACCCACTGTCCTAGCCACTCAGTGATGTTTCTCTCGTGGTGTCTCTGGATAAGCAGTGGAAATTGTGAACAGCCATCACTTGGATCTGAGCAGGATTTCATAGAAATGCTTTTCTAATAGTAGAATTTAATGGCAGTGCTTTCAATTAAGAGTTTATTTGTTAGGCTTTTTAAGAGGTATTTAGAAGCTTTCTAAGTTCGTCTTGGACCCATGGAGCTAGCCTTTGTTTTTTTTAACTGAGTCACAGAAGTGGTCTTGTGTGCCATCTATTGGAACACAGGAGAAAAATCAGCTCCAACCACATTTCTAGACACGTGGCTTCTGCTTTGTTCCGTGAGCTCTCCTGGCAATCTGAGAGAGCGTTCACTGACCCACAGCAACAGTAAGTGGCTCTGGCTGCCCTTACTTCAATCTCTTGTAAAATGTCAGCTTCTCTCGTCCATTAACCATAAGGATATACCAGTCAGTCCTCACAACACAAGCTAGGTGTCCTTATCTCCAGTTCACGCTTATCAGGGCCAACACTGTTTCTGTAATTTCGACAGAGCTTCACACAGGCAGAAAGTGAAGTCAGCACTAGCCAAAGTCCATCTACGTCCATGGGTATTCTGAATGTCGCTCATCCAAAGGACTCCAATACCAACTTACACCAGAGAAGAAAAGGCAGCTTGAACATTGGGCTTTTAGACATTTTCTTGGCTCATAGAATCAACTTTAAACAGCAGCCACAGGGTCACCTTCTTCAAGAAGGGTCTGTTCTTCTCCCTTCTCTGTAGTCGTTCTTTTTTAGATTTAATTAAATTTATTTATTTTGGGTGGTACTGAGGATTGAATTCAGAGCCTCATGCTTGTGAGTCACATGCTCTACTATTTGAGCCATGCACCCAGCCCTTTTATGCTTTCGTTGTTTTTCAGATAGGTTCTCACACTTTTGGCCTGGCCTCAGACCTCAGTCTTCCTGCCTATGCCTCCTGTGCAGCTGGGATCACAGGTATCATACCTGGCCTATTTGTTGAGATGAAGTCTTGCTAACTTTTTACCCAGGCTGGCCTAAAATTGTGATCCTCCAATTTTGAAGTTGGCCTTAGACCAACTTCCCTGAACAGATGAAGAAGCAAAGGTTAGAGACAGATTTGAGCTGCCCAGGGCACACTGCACTGCACCAGAACAAGGGGTGGACGCCACATCTTGGGCTCTCTTCCACTGTGCCATGTGCCTGGCTGTGGTGTGGAGCCTTATTCCCTTTCTTTGGCTCCTTTCCCCGCTGTGACCCAGGAGTGACTCATGACTTGTCTTCCTTCAAGTTCAAGACTACTCTGCCCTGCCATTTTCCCTTTTATCAAATTCACTAACCAAGGATATGCTGATTTGCGAGTTCATCCCGCATTTACATTCTTGGCCAAGAATAAAAGTCTCCTTCACTGTGAGAAAAAAAAAATTTACCAGCCAATATCAGTATTTGACTTTCTTTATGGCAGATGGATCCAGTAACCCATTTGAAGAGTAAATTGTGGTTCTGTGTGGCATAGGAACTAAGAAAAGAAAAGATTGACGGGGGTCTGCTCCTTTATATTTGAAGCAGGTCATGCTTCTGAGGGTCACATCCGTGAGCTGTGGGAATGACGAAATTTCTTAAGGTTTCTCACTGATTGGATCAAGGAGCTATAGTGGGCAGAAAGGTCTATGCTGTCAGTGCCCACCTTGGGATGTCCCTTGTTGCAGGTCAATGGCATTGACCTTAGGAGCTCCAGCCACGAAGAAGCCATCACGGCCCTGAGGCAGACTCCCCAAAAGGTGCGGCTGGTGGTGTACAGAGATGAAGCACACTACCGGGATGAGGAAAACTTGGAGATTTTCCCTGTGGATCTGCAGAAGAAGGCCGGCCGAGGCCTGGGGCTGAGCATCGTTGGGAAACGGTAAGGGCATGATGATCAAGTCAGGATCAGCCTTTGCCCTTCAACTTGTGGGGATTAATGCCCAGAGACACTGACAGATAAAGCCTGCTGTGTGCTGCCAGTGGGGTTTCTAAAACTAAGATAATTGTGAATATATGAACACCATAAGTCATATTTCTCAGCAATGTCTACAAAAAAAAAAGATGTAATTCCAGACATTATCAACCCAACCCAGACTATTATATTTCCTCCTAGAATATGAATAGCTTGCAAGGTTTTTCCAGTTTCAAAAACCTACATCTGAGCTTGCAGAGATTAATCAATGCAACCATGTCCGGGAAACAGCTAATATCTGAAGATACATTCATACAATGTTGGGTTAAGAAAATTGAAGTGACATGGAATACCATGTTAATTTCATACTGTGTTAAAACTAGTGGAGTAGATACAGTTGAGACACAAGCATAAATTTCTCATGACTTTAGTTTCCTTTTAAGAATGTAGTCCACAAAATAATAGTTTGTACCAAACTATTGAAGTCTTGATTACTGGTGTCAGGATTACTCTATTGAAGTCTATCCTGCTTAGGTATTCAGTGGGGACTACAGGGTAATATGGATGGGTTCCTTGCTTGATAAATTAGAAAGGAAAATGTGGCGGGGGGAGGAGGTAAGAGGGGGAGAAATGGTGGGGTGATCTAACCAATGGACAATATAAACCTATTTGGAAGTGTCACAATGAATCCCTCTATACAACAAATATATTCAAATAAATAAGAAAGGAAAGTGGTATCTTTCTTCTTAGACTGTCATCCTAGCTCCCATGGCTGGCTTACTAGCTTTAGGATCCTAGTGTGGATTTATTCCACCAGGGCTACAAGATTTCCAGGTGACACTCAAATATGACCTTAAGTTATATGGCCATCTTCTTAGGAAGAGTTCAAAGTTCAATGTGCGTTGTAGCACATGTCCTCACTGTCCTCTGATGGCTCACCTGGTGCTGTTTCCCAGCAGTCCAAGCTGTGACTGGCTACCATTTTTGAGTACTAATTTTATGCATTCAGCATTGCAAAACCATCATCTGAAAGCACATCACAGGACTGGTGGCGTGACACAAACAGTAAGAGCGCAGCCCAGCAAGCATGAGGCCCTGAGTTCAAACCCCACTGCTGCCAAAAAAAAAAAAAAAAAAAGGAAATGCATTCTGGTACCAACAAAACTGAATCTCTTACATCTCTAAACAAAATCAGTGCACATCTGAGTGCGGAGCAACTGACGGGGCCAATATTGAAATTTTGTTCTTATTTTGATACAGATGTATGTATCTGGGGAGATTCCATTTAGAAAAATGGTATTTGTTTTATTATCCTGGGGTGAGTTCATGAAATAATTGCCACGCAGTGCCAGCATTTCAGGTTGAATTTGTAAAGAACATTTACATTCCTTAGCACAAAAACTTTCACTGTCAAGGATCAGATATATATCTCTGAAAATCCACAATTTCCTTGACTAACAATTCCATGGTTTGGAATTCATCTTACAGACGTGTTTGCAGGCTTTTCTCATACACTGTTTGCAATAGCTAAAGAATGAAAATAACCTGTATGTCCATCAGTGGGTTACTAATAAGTGAAATTGTGGAACATCTACAGAATATTATGTAGCAGTAAAAAGTGAACACCTGCAGGTGCTAATAGAAGTAATTGAAGTTGACATAGCTCAGTGCTAGATCACACACACTTAGCATATGTGAGGCCCTGGATACAGTTCTCAGTACTAAAAAAAAAATCATAATCATCAATTTGACAAGATGTATCAAGTGTAAAAAAGAATTAAAATGAGGGGGAAAAAATGTGTGTGTGTGTGTGTGTGTGTGTGTGTGTGTGTGTGCCCAGTTACACACACATAGGTTCCACACATGGATGCATTTGCTCATGTATGCACAGAATGTCCCTTACACAGACCCAAGAAGCAGGTAACAACACTGCCTCTAAAAGAGGTCAAAGGCTAGAGGTGAGAGGGAAACCTTTCAAGGTATGCAGTTTGTAACCTCTTTGAATTTTGAGACGTTATGTATTCACCAAATAAATGCAATTAAGACTTTAAAGTAATAAAGGCAGGAAAAGAATGAGAGAGAAATTAGAAATTAGAAATTGTTAACAAGTAAATTTCCATGTCACTCCACTAAAATTGTCATCTTGGACCAATAAGAATGACTTTCCAAGAGGAAACATAAATAGGCATGGGTCATTGAACAGTGAACCCTCTGCAGTCCATCATCTAAAAGTCAGTGGACAGTGTTGGATTTAATAGCTTCTTAGGGCCTGTCTCAGTTTTAGGGTTTAGTGCAGCTACACAGAAAGTCACCGATCTCAGATTTTCATTAAGGAACACTTGCTTATGCCAATGCCCCACTGCTTCTTGGTATTAACAGGAACGGAAGTGGAGTGTTTATTTCTGACATCGTGAAAGGCGGAGCTGCAGACCTGGATGGGAGGTTAATTCAGGGAGATCAGATCCTGTCTGTGAATGGGGAGGACATGAGGAATGCCTCGCAAGAGACAGTGGCCACCATCCTCAAGGTGAGTCCCTGAATTGCTCTTTGCCCAGTTGCCATGCCAGAAGCCCATTGGAACTGTCCAAGTCAATTGTAAGCATAAAATGGGATGGATTTTGTGCTCTCTAGTTTTCACTAGAAGTCTATTCTCTGGTTATTTCAAATGACCAGGAATAGCTTTAAAAGAAAGCCCCTGTTACATTAACTAACAGAGTGAAAGGGAAACTGTGTTGAGATTTCCCAGCTCCTTTTTCTGTGAGAATTCCAGCTATCTACAATTACCCTCTAAATGCATGGGATGGAATGGGCTCTCTGGAAGCACGGGATTTGTCATCCTCCCCTGGGCTCCCAGAGAGCTCATGATTATGAGTTCATTAAATCCAGCCTTTGTTAGTAGAAAGAAAACATTGAAGATTATCTGACCAATTCCTCCACTTCACAAATGAGAACTGAAAAACAGCTTGACACGCCCCAAATCACAAAACTCTGCTTGAGTGGTTTTCTTACCACCCAGCTGGCTCTCACTGAACCTGTAAGATGCTGAGGTTCAAAATTCACTTCCAGGTATCCATGGAGCCCCCTTCCCATTCTGCTATAATGAGGTACATTTTATTCTGTATTTCACAAATAACTGGAAGCTTGTGCAAAGTCAGGTGAATTTTGTTTTTAAATTCTGATTTTTAGATCTATCAGTTACTACCCGAGAGGATTTGTATTTGTAAATTCTCCCCATGTTTGATTCTCCTATTCTGTTCTTCGCCACTGTTTCTTAATTATTTCACTCTTCATGAATAGTTGTATCTGAAGGGAGAAGGAAGAGAGGAGAGGGGACTTGAAATCCAATCCTTTTTATACATTTAAAGAAGTCCTGAGAAGAATGCTGTCAAGTTTCTAAGTCTGCATTATTTTGTTGGATTTTTGGATGATTGAGCCTCCTTTTTGCCTGCTGCCTTCATCGCCCTTTTCTAAATCTTGGCTGCAGAGATGAGTGGAGGCTCTTCTGTGGTGTTTTAGAGCCTAAGCACTACTACATCTCATTTCTGTTCTTTTCTTATCTTCCCAAGTGTGCACAGGGCCTTGTGCAGCTAGAGATTGGGAGACTCCGAGCCGGTTCCTGGGCCTCCTCAAGGAAGACATCGCAAAACAGTCAGGTTGTTGATGGCTTCCCAGCAGACTGACTGACTCCCCTGCTCCCATTGGGAGAAATTTTCTCATTTCATAAATGATCACTTAGAAATAATATCTAGTATGCAGCATATTCACATCACCAAGTTCAGTGTGCCTTCATGTGTTTGAAATAAAAATGAAAGGTGGGATGAAAATTCACTAATCCCTAGAATTTTCTCTCCTTTATTGCTTTCAAATGTTTTCTTACAACCACTTTTCTCTCCCACTGTTAGTTCTATATTGCCTATGCACTTGTACACAGCTGTGTTTATTTTTAAAAAAAGGCAACATCTGGTGGCAATTTGACCCTCATTAGCACAACATTGTTCTACTCATTTAATTAAATATTGCTATAAAGTTAACTTGTGGATAGCCAGTCACACATGCTGAGGGCAATTAATAATATATTCCTAGGAGAGCTAAGTGTGGGGGTTTCTCCTATGAGAGGGAGGTCATAGTGGGTGATATTTTGTGAGTTAGCAAACATCTTATGTTTATTTGCAAGGCTGATGTAAGTGCTACTTTTTTTTTAACAGAATATTTTCTCCATTATAATGGCTGACACAATCAAGATGGTAGACTATATGTTTAATCCCATTTGGTGCATAATGCAGCTATGGAAACTTGCATGTGATCCCCCCAGGTCTCCTTTGTGTGTTATGGACAGGCCTTTGTTTCAGAGTTAAAGCATGACTTTTTGGATGCTTAATCTGGTTGCCTTAGATGTAAAGCCTCTCCAAGGCCTTTGGGTAGAACATGATGTGATTTTGGGTTAGCACACAGCTACTCCTGGACAGCCATTAGCTGTCTTCTTTGCCTCATTGCCTTTAGAAAATGGGTGAGGAAAAAAAATATCCTTGATCAGACAGGATCACAGATTAGCTGGCTTGTCTTAGGGAATCTTCAAGTAAGTCAAATCCAACAAACACCATTTAAGTTTGGACCTTTTTTTTCATTTCTGACTTACATAATAGGTAGCACATATACATAGTAAGACAAAATGCTACTATGGGGTTCCACAAGTTAATGGTCGGTGACAATTCTGTGCAGACTTGGGAACTGGACATGTAAGACCATCTTGGCCAGGCTCCTTCCATAATGGAAGACTCGTCTCTGTGGAATAATTTCATTAAAGCCTCATCGTACACAGGAAACTACTGCACAATGAATCGTACTGGGGTTGAGATCGTGCTTCCTGCCAGAGTATGAGAAAGCTACAAAGAGGTGGTTCCATTGGATCACACTGCTAAAGGGGTTTGAGGAAAAGGAGAAGTCATCCCAGACAGAGTAGATATGCAAAGACACAAAGGGAGGAGAGGATTTCATGTGTTTTAAGACATTTGGGCTAGCAGCTGAGGTGGTAGGTAGAGCTGGACTTCTGACCTTCCTGAGGGAATGTGAGCACCTTCATGATTAGTAAAGTTCACAGTTGCCAGGTGCCATTGGCTCATGCCTGTAATCCTAGCTCCCTGGGAGGCTGAGATCAGGGAGGTTGCACTTTGAGGCCAGCCTGGGCAAACACTTCATGAGACCCCCCATTTCAACCAAAAGCAGGGTGCCATGACATATGCCTGTCATCCCAGCAATGGGCAGGAAGCATAAAATAGAAGGAACATGGCACAGGTCAGGCTGAGCAAAAAGTGAGACCCTATCTCCAAAATAACCAGAGCAAAAAAGGGCTAGAGATGTGGCTTAAGCAATAGAGTACCTGCCTAGCCAGCACAAATCCCTGAGTTCAAAACCCCAGTACTGCCAGAAAAGGAAGAGGAGGAGGAGGAGAAGAAGAAGAAAGAACAACAAGCTGAAGCTTGATAGTTGTACACATCTGTAATTCCAGCAACTCAAGCAGTTGAAGCAAGAGGATCAAAAGTTCAAAACCAGCCTGGGCTACACAGCAAGACCCTGTCTCGAAAACAAAACGAAAAACCAAATTATAATTTACCAACTGATAATAGTGATCTTAAGCATAGCTTAAAATTTCAGTGAGGTTAGGCATAACCTTGATAATTTGGTAGAAAAAATACTTATTAGTGGTGGTATTGCCCACATTAGGAAAGGCCTTTACTGTGTTTTCAGAATTTAATAGTCATTACCCATAAATGATTATACATTATGGACTTCAGATATTTAAATGAATAAAAAGGTCAGGTCATAGAGGTATTGGAGCAGATTGAGTTAAATTGTTAATAACATTTTTGAGAAAAAAAGTAATATATCCTTAAAGTAAGCCTTTTTTCCATCCTTGATATTTGCTGATTTCTCCTACAATTAAGGGTTCCACTCATCCAAATATCTATTAAAGTTTTAGTCTACTTGTTTTAGCAAAGTATGTAATACATCTTTGGTAGTAAGGGGTCACATGTTGACAGTAGCCCCAAATGACACAGTGCCCATTTGCTGAGCATTTTAAAGACCAGGTGGCCACCTAGGAAAATGTTTTGGGTTTCATATGGAGTAAGAACAGCTCTAAGGTTGCATGTTTTCTACCCTAATGATTGAACCCTTATATTAAAGCACATCCAGTGGAGAAAGCAATGGAAGAGACGTTTAAATGGGCCTGGGGTGGGATGGGGAAGGAATGAGTCTGGTGGTTCTAGTTTTCTTTCTTGGCCTCTTCAGAATTTTCTGATATATGGTCATGGTGACTATGGCAATTGGCATACAAATGGCATTTTTAGGCTAAACCAGTGTCTGCATGAGAGTGACCATGGTTCTTCTTTTTAGGGAAATCAGCACAGCGCACACAGCAGCTCTCGGCCCTCCTTGGCCCCTGTCATTGCCAGCCTGCAAAACCTAGTCGGCACAAAAAGAGCTTCGGATTCTTCTCAGAAAATTTCAGGTATCACATAGACACACCCCCAGCAAAACAATCCTGTTACCCAATTTTTTAAAAAAAATAGTGTTTTCAAAAAGCAGCCTTATCGTCTTTGAATAAAATGTTTTTAAGCCAAACTGTGATAGTGCACACATATAATCCTAGCTGCTCCAGAGACTAAGGCAGAAGGATGGAAAGTTGGAGGCCAGCCTGAGTTACATACCAAGTTCAGGGGCAGCCTGGGCAACTTAGGAAGACCCTGCCTCAAAACCGAAAGTGAAAAAGGACTGGGGGCATAGGCCAGTCATACTGCACTTGCTTAGCACACACAAGGCTGTGGCTTCAGTCAATCTACAGTACCACCAAGAACAAAAATGTATTAAATCTTGAGCTGGGCCACTGAAGTTTGCAAGCTGTCTGAAAGGCCTATCCTGAAGGGAGGAGAGCCCTAGAACGTCCTGTTTGGAATATGCCCTTAAGAGCACACAGATCACATGAGCAACAGAAAAGCTGGAAACAAGTGCACCAGAAAGTACTGCCATTCACAAAGAGAACATTAATAAATTCCAGGTGACTGGATGGAGGTCAGAAGTGCATATAACCCTGCAGACAAGGCAGGGACAGGGTTTTTTTTAAGCCTTTCATTGGGAGGAGCATTATCTTTGATTAAGGCAGAAAAATATGGAGTGAAGCACAAGTGGCTCATCCTCTTCCCAATCACATGTTTCAGGCAGCTGCAGCTTTTATCAGACCAGAAGACTATGCCTGTGTCTTGCAAATACAGGGCTCTCCTTTAAATCAGAGGCCGTGGCCCTTGATGACTGGACTGCCAAGCTGATGTCGGGGAATGGGGTGAAACCTGTTTGCTTTAGCATCTTCTCTTGAAAGGCCTAGAAAATGATATTTCATGAGATACTGTTATCTCCTAAATACATCATCTCTGAATTTGAATAAGTTAATGGTCTTCCTTCTCTATTTATAGGCACAGATATGGGACCAAGGACTGTTGAGATAATCAGAGTAAGTCAGTTATTTTGCTGTTTTTGACTCTGGCTTGTATTAGATTTGCACAAAATGTACATTTTGCCCCTTAATTGGGTTGTTAGTGTATTCTTCTAAGTTACTGAAGCAAATATGTAATAGAAACAGACTTAAGAAAATAGATTAAAACACTACGATAGCCACTGTGAATTTTTTGGCAAATACTGTCCACTACAGTATATATGTGTGCGTATATGTGCAAATTTTACAAAACAAAAAGTGTTACCATGGTAGGCAGACTCTTGTAGTCTATTTTCTTCACTTTGCAAAATGAACTCTTAGCCATTGGGGGCTGGAGGCATGGCTCGAGCACTAGAGCGCCTGCCTAGCAGTCATGAAACCTTGTGTTCAAACCCCAGTACCACCAATTAAAAAAAAAAGTGGTTTTGGACAACACAATTCATATTTGTTGCATAGTATTCTATCATGTGATGTGCCTGTCATTTTCTTAATCAGCTTTCTCTTACTGAACAATTAGCATAGTTCTCAATTTTTATCTTACACAGCAAAACATCTTTATATTAACCTTTTTTTTCCTTATCATGGATAATCTCAGTGCTGTATTGGTTGACACAAAAGCACCATTCTTCCTGTGGGAACAGACAGGTCCCCCTTTTTCTGCATTGAGGAGATCCAAGGCTTGTCTGTTTTGGAGAACAACTCTGGCAAGAGAGTCTATTTGATTTTTTTAAATCAGTGTTAGCCATCTCTTGGAAAGTGTCTTTAAGGACTTTTGAGAGCTGGTGAAAGTAGAGGATAGAGAATGTTACTCTGGCTACTCAGATTCCAAGGGTGGTTGAAATGTCCAGTCTGAAGTATGCAGGTTCCTCACCAGTAAACAAGCAGGTAGATAAAGGAGGAAGTGTTGCAGAGAAAGAAAATACCCATAGTGGAGAGGCAAAAATTGCAGGTTAAGGTGGCAAGCCAAGAAAAAAGTGGGTGAAGGGTCTTTAACCCACCTGTCCCGGAAAAAATTTTGTTTTCCCAAATCATGTAGGTCCCCAAGAGGGCAGCCTCTGTGAGAGGCTGGTATTCTGCCGAAGGGGAAGCCTGTTTTTCTGGCATGTGGGAGAACCAAGTAATATCTATCTTGGTGTTTACCATGGCAGAGGAGAGGGACAGTGAGATAGGTGGTAGGTTTGGAACAGACCCTCCAGGGGACGCCCTCCAATTCAGCATAGCCCAGTTTGTGTTGATATGAGGAGGGGGAATGGTCAGTTTTTGAGATATTTGGGTGCCCAGAGAATTGCAGGGGATTTGAAAATATGCTTGCAAAACCTATCTTGACAGAGACATGTTTATTTTGTTGGTCTTTAGAGAGGGAGAAGGGCAAGAGTATACTTGCAGAGAATCTTAGAAAAATGTCCTTTGGGGGTGCTTAGAGTATGGTTGAAGTAGGAGTGAGTGAGACATGGGGGTGCTTGGGCAAACAGTCTGGTCTGGGTAGAGATGGGTTGCCAAATGGGTTGTCTGTGGGCTGAGTTTTTGTCTATGGTGTTTGGTATGTGGTTGGGGTTTTGAGTCCTTGGGACATGGTCCTCAGCAGGAGAGCAATTGCTCTCCTGGAGATTGTACAAGTGCAGCCAAAGTCTGTAGGGGAAAAGGAATTGATGCAGAGGAGGTTGTGGGAAGAGTCTGGGTAAGGTTCAGTTGAATAAGTGAGGTGTAAATTCATGGTTGAGGTAGCCCAGTCAGACAATTCTGCCAGGATTGCAGTAAGTTGTTGGGTCTGGATTAAGATACAAATCCAAAAAGCAGAGGAGAATGAAGAGTTTGTCTGCCACAGGAAAAAGTAGGTTGCGTTAATGAGAGGGTCCCAGCTTGTGGGGGTGGGGTGGATCTGTGTATGTCAAGGGAATGGCAAGAGGATAGGAAGAGCAAAATGTATAGAAAGAGATCTGAGTTGGTGTGAAGTCTTGGAAGGTGCCCTGTACACATAGTTCCTCTGTGAGGTGTTGGTGGTGGGCTAGCAACCATAAGGCCTCTACCAGGGGGTCTAAGTTCTCTGTCAGGGGTTCTGGGAGAGGGTACCAGCTGAGATCCTCAACTAAGTGGAAGAGATATTCCTGAAAGTTAAGGAGTAACAAGGTCATGGAGTATTGACATCTGATTCTGGGAGAGGCTCGGGGATCCTGGTTAGTCGCAGAGAGGTATGTTCTGTGGCATGTGTCCTAAATGACAAATATTTAGGAGGCATGGGGGAGTGGCATCAGGGATTGAGTTGGACTAAGGTATAGCTACCTTCCTTAGTCTGGAATGATGTATCCAGTGAGACATCCCTTTACCTTAACCATGATAGGTGTAGTAAGGATTATCTGGTAGGGTCTTTTCCATTTGGGTTGCAGGGGAGAGACAGTCAGCGACCCACATCCACTCTCTGGGGTGAAGGGATAAGGGGTATGTGTTGTATGTCTCTTTGCAGCTTGGGAAGGTGTTTGTCTGCATAGTCCCTCAGGAGGTATCTGCTGAGATGCAGTGTGGGCCAGCTGTCTGTTTCTGTTTGAGGAAGGTCTCTTGATGGGGCGCCTGGTAGTGGTAAGTCATAGAGAATAAAGGGCCTACCATACATCAGTTCAAATGGGCTCAAGTTTAGGGGCTGTTGGGGAACCATTCTTAGTTTCATGAGGACGAGAGGTGAAAGTGAGAGCCAGGCCAGTTTGACTTCCAGGGAGAGTGTTCAAGTGCTGTCTTAGTAAGGCATTGGTTCACTCTGCTTTGCCTGAGGACTACAAGCAGTATGGAATATGTTAAACCCATTTAAAACCTAGCGCTTTCAGGAGTGATCTGAGGGTGTCCCCTGAGAATACTGGGTAACTACGGAATCCTGTCACGTAGTGCTGGGATCTAGTGAGACAAACAAGAGGGGAGGAATCCAGACATGGGGGAATGGTAGACTCACCCAAATGGAAGTGACCGTGTGGGATGTGGTGTCCCACAGCGGAGAGGTCCTTGCTGGGCCTGCCAGAGAGAAGTTGAAGGGATGGGGTTATGAGAAGGGCATCTATCCAGCCTGGAATGGGCTGCCACTGCCCACTGCTTCCCAGGCTGCATGGGGGACACCACTCCTGCAGGACCCAAAACCCTGTCCCAGGTTTCAGCACCAAAATGTTACGTTCAACAGCAACATAGGTTTATTTAGGAGCAAAACCTACAAAGGGGTACTCCAACCAAAGCCAGAGCCCATGCACAGCTCACAGGCTGGGACAGTTTCAGGTTAGGGAGTGCCCACCCGCTGCTCTGTGTCGGGGAAATTCTTTCAGTTAGCTATTCTGAGTGGGGAAACGTGTCGCAATTAGCTATGGCTAGGATTCCAGTTCTTCAGTTAATCTACATTCTTCCCAAACAGAATATTTGTGTGCTTCCAGGGGCCCTGGTGGCCTCTAAGATGGAGGCCTCTAAGATGGTGACGACCATGCTAACAGCAACTTTGATATTCCTGTAATGGAGAATGTGCCAGCAGTGTACACAGTTGTGGATAAATTGAGGAAGCACCATACTGAAGTTACAGCCAAATTATCCCATCAATTTCTCTTCATTCCAAGATTTTAAAACTAATAATTCTGTATTTACTTAATCATTTCAGCCTTATGGGCTTCTATTATAGGCCTGCTAATACCCACCCTGTTCTGCCCCACATAGTCAAGCAAAGACCTCATAATACAGCGCACAAGGCTGGACTATTGATGCATTCAGAAAGTATAAATTAGATACAAATGCTCGAAAACAGGGTATAAGCTACCTGTGACTGGAGAGGTCAGCATACCATTTTTCTGAATTATAAGGATGGCGTAACAGTACCGGTATTGTAATAGAGATAATCCATCATATGACCAAGGAGGGCTGTAGTGGTTTGGTTTGCTTTGCTTTGGTTTGGTTTGGGTGGGTTTTTGTTTGGTCTTGGTGCTAGGCATTGAACCCAGGCCTCATACATGCCAGGTATATCTATGTAAATTCAGAATCCCACCAAAGAACAATATCATTTTTATTTTCAACTGTCCTACATATTCTGAAGAACTTCAGAAGAAAATTGGCCATATTTTCCTGGTTCTTTGCCTGTCGACTAATTTAGGATTTTATCCTGGACCTCATGAGTTTATGAAGAGTGTTAATGTTTATGCTGTCGCAGGCAGTCAACCCGGTTAGGTGCAGAATGCAAGTTATGTCTCACCTTTTTTGGGTGGAGATTCAAATCTCAGTTCAGTTCTCAAAACTTTTGCTCTGTGGGTTTGGGACTGTCACACACATTTGTAGCTTAGAATTGAGCCTGAATGCTGTGTGTTCCCAGGAAGAATTAGGGAACCCCTCTCTCCAGCTCTTTCTACTCCGCTATTCTTACCATACTCCCAAGCCCCCAGGGACTCCTCTTCCTGGTTCCTTGGATGGGAAAGATGGAGTTTCCATCAGAATTTCAGCAGTTTTCCCCACATTTTCAGCAACTTGACTGGTGTCACCCTCAGGGCAAAGCTACCAGGAAAGAAAAGAAAACTGGGCAACATCCGCCCTGCTGTCATTGACCACCAAAGTTGAGTCTCTTTCCATTTCCAAGGCTGCGGATAGTTTTTGTCTTTCAACAAAACTTCTCAATTGTGTCAGCAGGAGGGTGAGCTTGGTACATGTATGCCAGAGTGCCAGAACTGGAAGTTGCATTTGTTCTTTCAGTGATTTTTAAATATTAACCCTGTAATACAAATGTGGGGAAAATAGGACTAGAGCCAAGTCTCTTCACCAGAGTCCAGCTCAGAAGATGTTTTGGCTGCATTTTACTTCTCTGTCAGATCCTTTCACAGTTGTGCAGCTCTTTCAGAGCCAAGCATATTTGTTCATACCCAGAAGATCATGCTACCTATGGCAATTTAATTGTCAACACCATATGAGACCATGCTTGCCAAGACTGCCTACACCAAGTGGTAGCACAGGATCTTATCCATTTACTCCTACCACCACCTTTCACTGAGCCTTTTCTATAGGCCAGGGCTGCCGGTATGCTGCCGATATTATCTTACTTATCCCTCAAACCATCACTGTAGGATGTGCACAATTCTTTCCATTTCATGCATAGAGATGGAGGCTCTAAGAGGTTAATGTCTCCACGACCCCACAGCTAACTTAGTGCTAGTGCTGAGATGTCTGACTCCAAAGATGCCATGCTTAGCTCTCAGGGAACCCTGACCTTCTGCATCATGGAGGGATTTTGTCAACAGCATCTGTGGCCCATTGTTAAATATGAAGTGTTACGTTCTCTCTTTCAGGAGCCCAGTGATGCCCTTGGAATTAGTATTGCTGGAGGAAAAGGAAGTCCCTTAGGAGATATTCCTATTTTTATCGCCATGATTCAGGCCAGTGGAGTAGCTGCACGCACACAGAAACTTAAAGTAAGGAAGGAGCGCTGGTTAAAGCATTGATGGCCTGCGGTGGGGTGGGGGAGAACTGGCAGCCACGGGTACCTTATTTAAAAGTGGAATTCCAAGAAACCATCAGAGACCCATGCTGAGGGCAAAATGCATTAGAGAAACTTTATACCTGAAATTCATTAGGTCCCTGGGCATATAAAATGTTACTGTTTGTATCAAAGCTTCTCAATAAAAGAAGAAATTGCAGCTCCTTTGCAGACCCTCCTGTACCCTTCTTAGCACCTCATTCTACCCCAAATTAGTTTTCAACTCACAGAGATTTGACCTTAGACTCTTCCCCCAACCAAAAGAATCAACATTTTTATGATTATTTTTCCTATTACCCCTTAGTCTTAACTGAGGTAGAAAAATAAAGCAGAGAATATTTGGCTTCCTCATTAGAGCTTTATTGAACAGTTAATTTGTGCACCCTACTATTATTGGCGAATGGCTGTATAAAACACCACTATTACCAAAATACAAAGTGACCTGCTGTGCCTTTTAGTAATCAAATCTGACCCCCTTCTTGTTTCTCTGATTGGTCTGTATTGGGGAAAAGCCATAAAAATTCCTCATGCTTCTAGAACAGGCATGCACAGTAGAAACACGGAATCTTTGCAATAGCCACAGATGGGGAAATATGACTCACAAAGAATTTTAAGCATTCTTCTCAAATTTAATTTTTCTTAATGATAGTGATTTTCTCCCACTTTGTACTTGCAGGTTGGAGATCGGATTGTCAGCATCAACGGGCAACCTGTGGATGGGCTATCTCACGCAGACGTGGTCAATCTGCTGAAAAACGCCTACGGGCACATTATCCTGCAGGTACTGCCGTCAGTGGGACGCGCAGCTGCAAGAGGCAGATAAGCGCGCAGAAAAGATTGAGCGTCACTGGCAGTCGGCATCACTGCCCAGTGGGGTGCCTGCTGATGTGAATTATGAAGGCTGAAAGCAAGAAATTATTATTTTTATTCAGAAATTCTTTAATGCCACCCATACAGGCAGTGGGCACGATTATATGAAAGCCTAACAAGGGTAGAAAAATTACTCTTTGCTTCACATGATAAATCAACAAGGCTTTTAGCTTCTAGTGTCCTTTTGTAAATCAAAGTTTGCAAGGCATGGGAAATGAGTTTCTTTCTTATGCCTGAGGACTGCTATTGGAATGCCCAAGTGCTGTTTCTTCCTGTCCCTTTAAAAGAAAAGAATACAGTGTGCTTTTTCCCGGAGCATAAATGGTTGCCAACACTGAAACTCTCACTGCGTAGTAGTCATCAATTAAGGCAGACTATTATTGATCAACTGTGGTCCCCACGAGTATTGTCCAGAGGCATGGAAAAATATACCAGGAAGTAAAAGCAAAGCGTGCTGTTAATTACCTGTCCTTGTATTTCAGCATTTCACGCATCTTTGAGATTGACACCACGCAGAGATAGAAAGGCACATACTGACAGTGAGTTGCATTAACGAGTGTTCCAAAAGTGAAGGATTATAATTACATACTTTTTGCAGAGGTAGTATAAAATGGTTTATAGGTAAAAAGAATAAAGCCCACGGCCAGCCACTCAGATAATTCTACCCTTAAAATAAGAAGTTTGGTTTGAAAAGCAGTTGCATTTGGGAGAACTAATCTGTGGTGCTTAACTCTTAACACCAAAAAAGTGCCAAAATAGACCTTATGAAAGGTAAATGGCATTGAGCATGTCTGAAGGGAACAGTGAAAATTCTGTCAGTGGCTTCAAGGGGTTGATATGATAGGCCAAGTATGACCAAGTGTTGAACACAAAGCCAAGCACTGTGTGGCAGGCCTCAGTTCTGCGTCCTCTCAGCCACTTGCTGTCCTCACTTTTAATGGAAACTTGCATGCATATAGCTACCTGGCATTCCTCCTCTCCTCCCACAAAGCCCTGGCTGGTTGTCTGTTGTGGTTGCTCCTCCTGCAGGTTACACTGACCCTACCCAGGGCCTCACAGTAAGTGCAACTCTTCAATCTGGAGCAGCTATTTCCCTAGAAGAGGACTTCAGATAGAACTAGGACAAGAAAAGAGGCATTCCCTTAGTAATATCTGGTATTACTGGTATTTTCATGCCATGATATTTGTTCATCTCCACCTCTCTTCACAAAGAAATAAAAAGCCACAATCTGGGGCCAGGGTCTAGCTAACCCTCCATTGAGCTTCCAATATCACCTCTTTGAATAAGAAAAAAAAAAGGTAATTTAGAAGTATTACGTTAATTAAATTTTAAAAGTACCTTAAATGAAGCTGAGTTTATACTCTGCCCTGAAGAATTAACAATGCTGTCCCTAATCTGTTAGAACTTTCTTCCCCTCCTCCTCCTCCTCCTCCTTCTTCTGTTTTGATTTTTTTGTTTGTTTTTGTTTTTGTTTTTTGAGGTAGGGCCTCAGCTATGTATGAGGCTGGCCTCAAACTCAAGATCCTACTGCCTCAGCCTCCTGAGTGCTGGGATTATAGGTGTGTGACACCATGCCCAGCTCACAGTTAACATACTTTTGAAAAAGTTCCTTACTTTCCCTATTTCTGTATTTTAAGAAGAACATAACATTTGATTTCAAACGCTCTCTTGTGTGAATCACATTAGTTGGTGTTTTTATTTTCTCACCTGTGCTATTAATAGATTAGTGGAAGGGTGGGAGAGGTGGTACACACCTGTAAGCTACAGGGGAAGTAAAAACGTAGGAGGATCACAGTCCAAGGCCAGCCTAGACAACAAAAAAGCAAGACACTATCAGAAAAACACTAAAAAGCTAACAAGGAATGGGGACATGGTTTCAGTGGTAGAGCACTGGCCGAGCAAGCTTGAGTTCCTGAGTTCAATCCACAATACCACCAAAAAGAGAGAGTGCTTAGTGGAGTCCTATGAGATTCTCGAAGTTGTGATCTTCACACTTTTGGGTATGGAACATCTGTGCTGCCAAAGATTATAGACACAAAACTGAGGAAACTCGCATCCGCATCGAGTGCCTAACCGGTTGCATCATGTGTTTGTTTTAATTGAAACAATGTCATGGAGCAGTGACAGCAGTACAGTCATCAGACCTGCCTTGTCCTTAGGCAGCTGTTTTATTTTCAGGTAAGCCAGCCAAGCAGAGTGGTATGAAAGGTCAGATAACTGATTGTCCCATGTGACGCAGCCAGTGTGACTGGCCCTCATTGATTATGGTGTGAGTCTGCAGATGGCAACGTGGAGCAGGACAGCAAAGTCACAGCAGCACTTCTGAAAGCTTCTCTCCACGGTGTAGATTGCTATCTGTGGGTATAAGCAGAGGTATTTCTGCCCTTAGAGCTGGACGGCCGCTTATTGCCAGTTACAGATTGGACAACTGACATTGATCTGCCATTTTAAATACTTTGAAGTGTTCCCAATCCTGTTTGCTTCTATAATAATTTGAGAGGTTGCCTTGCTCAGTTCTTTTGTCTGTGGAATTACTGTAAATCTTCTTTGGATGAGATCAGGTAGCCCGTACTTCTAGAAACTTTTTCACCTGTTTCTGTTTTACATTTTTCATTGAGGATGTAGAAGTAATTTTTAGGAATTTTTTATTCCTAAAGGAATTTGCAGGGCTCCTTCTGGGTCCACTAAGAGACCCAGAAGCATTTTAAAGCTTTCACGAGCAAGTACATTGGCGAGGACTAAGCCAGGAGTATAGGCAGAGAGTGTTGAGTAACACGGGATGACATGGAACTTGGTAGCCATGTGGATGGAGGTGCCCAGAAGCTTAGCAGAGGACGTGTGCCTCAATGCTCAAGGAGACGTCAGTGCAGGAAACAGGGCTAATGAAAGCCATTTCTGCAGTGCTGACATCCCATCACCAGGCACATAGTTCTTAATAGGTAGTGGTTAAACAAATGAATAAAAGTTTCAAAGACAGGACACAGGTTGGAGCCAGCAGCAAGTTTCAACGTCAGAAAACAATTTTGCAATTAGGAAGACTAACAAAGGATCTATCAAATAGTACTTTGGGAAAAATTAAAAAGCAAAACAATGACAACAAAGGGTACTTTGGGGAGCCTTTTGAGGGCGTCCTCCAGAGCTCCGAAAGCTGATGTAAGAGGCCCCTGCTGGATAGAATAGTTATTAGGACAACACAGAAAAGAGGCCGGGATGTGACTGTGTGGGTTTGGCGCCCAGCACCACAAACAAAACTGGGAGGGCAGAATGAAACACTGGATTAAGGTAGGAGATTCTAAATTCAACAAGTAGGAATTGCAAACAGGAACACAAAGTAAGTAAAACTTAAAAATGAAAGAAATTTAGTTTAATTAACCCGTGAGCAGGATAAATCCAGGCGCAGAATAATACCAGCAGGACTGGAGCTGTGGCTCAAGCAGTATCGCACCTCCTACCAAGTGCAAAGCCCTGAGTTCAAACCCCAGTACTACCAAAAAATAATACTTAAATACATTTTATAATTTTGAAAAGAAAAAAATTTATACTACCTGTAAAAGAATAAGACATTCAAATAACACTCAACTTATTTTTTTTAATCAGCAATGTTTTCCTGAGAAAATTACTTTAGGACATACTCCAACAAATGAATAAAAAAGGAAGAAAGAAGCAAATGGCTGTGATGCTAAAGCACTCTAAAATCCCTTGTTGAGCTACTCAGGAGGCAGAGATCAAAGGGTTAAAAGCCAGCCTGGGGCAAATAATTCAGGAGACCCTATCATGGCAGGGAGGGAGGGGGAGGTCACAAAAAGGGCTGGTGGAATGGCTCAAGTGGCAGAGTGCCTGCCTAGCAAGCATGAGATCCTGAGTTCAAACTCCAGTGCTGCCAAAAAAAATCCCAGGTTGACAACTGGATGTAGTTAACATAGACAACAATTTGTCCAATTGAAACAGGAGGAAAAGAGGCCTTTGAGGATTATTGCCTCCATCCAGACATGGTGGCACACACGTATAATCCCAGCACTCAGGAGACTGAGACAGGAGGATCATGAGTTTGAGACCAGCCTGGTTTACATAGTGAGACCCCTCAGTGCCTCTAAATTAAAAAAGAAAAAAAAAGGACAGATTGTCTAATATGTGTAACTAGACTGAAAGTCTGAAATCAGTTAAAATGTAGGGCTAACCTAATATTAAGTATATAAAAAAATAAAATATGAGCTTATTATTAACCTTGAGGGAAATAAATTTATACAATAAAAAAGGAAACAATTATAGTATAATGGTCAGTGTGGATAAACATTTATATGAACATTTTAAGTCATAACCCCTTCTTTTGAATTTTTGTTGCTGTTTTGTTATTGTTGTTTTTCTTTTTTGAGATAGGGTCTCACTGTGTAGCCCAAGCTAACTTCAAACTCATGATCTTGCGCCTGACTCAGCCTCCCCAGTACTGGGATTACAGCTGTGTGCCCAGCTAAACATTATACCACACTCATCTAAACTAGGTATACCAGTCATAGTGTAACCAGACTCCAAAGCCAAACAGGGCCTGTTTCTGGGGGTCCCACAGAACCAGGGTTCAGCCATTTGCCAAAATCAAACAGAAGGCAAGTGTTGGTGAATGCAGGAAGGAAATTTATTCTCAGAGTGGCCACACCAAGAAGACAGAACTAAAGACTGTCTTCAGAGTTCTACAGTAGTGTTGGGATATACAGGAAGGGACTAAAGGCCAGAGTGGAAAGGGTTCCATAGCTAGCAGGCCAGGTCCCATTCTGGTTGATCGTTAAGCCTGGGGGACTGGTCATACTGGATCTTCTCTATGTCTGGGAGGTAGTTGCTGGGGGCAATTTTGACTGACCACACAGGATGTTTATCTTATGAGACCTGTGATCCTGAAATCCAAGAGGAAGAACAAG